GCAGCCACACCGCCCCTGCCCGGGCACCACCTGGGTGCTGACGCCATCCGTGTACAGCAGCACCCGGCTGCTGCAGACGAGTCACCTGCGTGCAGACGCGCCAGCAGAGCGCCTCAGCGTGCCGCTCGTGTCCGGGGGCCACGCGTGTCCGGGTACGACCTGTGTCAGCTGCCACCTGTGTTCAGATACAGCCTTCGTGCAGACACCACGCGTGTGCAGACACCGTCCACGTGGTCATCCCACCCATGCGCAGACACCATCCATGCGCGGACACGACCCGCGTGGTCATCCTGCTCGTGCAGACACCGCTTATGTACCGATGTCAGCCGCGTGCAGACGCCAACCACGTGCCCAGACGTGCCACCCGTATCCTCCTGCCACCCGTATCCTCCTGGCGTGGCACAGCTCAGCATAGAGGGGCCCTGGCCAAGCTCGGGGCGCTCACCTCCCCACGAGGGACCCAACACAGCGCTTTCCAGCAGAACAGCTCCTTTATTTCAATGCTACCCTGGTTTTGAGCATTTCATTTTCAGCACGTGGATACAGGGAGAGGAATCCATCAATGCAAAGAGAACCTGGGTTCACCTCGGTGGCCAAACAGTTTCCAGCCGTAGCAATGGTTTTGCTGTAAGGGGGGGGGGGAAATGGTTCTTTCCCAAATGGGTAAAAAAGAATGTAGAAGCGTGGATTAAGTTTATGTCATTTTCTCTCTCCTGCCATGATCTTGTAATTGAAAATTTGAACCGTACTTGCTAATCTCATCTAAATCACTCATCTGCATATATTAGAAATAGCACAGACACCTTTTAACAGGAACAAGACTAATTTGTCACCCATATTTTGATTTTGAGCCCCAGATATGATGATTGATGGGGAAAAACAACCACTTGAAAATAAGACCAAAGGACACCTCGAGGCCCAGGTCAGAGTTCGAACCTACTGTGTATGTGTTTAGATTTTAACTTGTTGTACTTGGTGATCAGATCCAGCTTACTGTGCCCAAGAGTCATTCTTTTCTCAGCCCCATACGTGCTGTTCTTTTCTGTCAGCATGTCCTCAGTGAGTTTATCATAGGAGGGAACTACAGGCTTTTTATCTCTTTTTAACTGGTTGTATGGGGATAGCATGTCCAATTTTCCTTGTCCGGGACTCTGCCTTTTGTCAATCCCATAAAAAGTGTTGTCATTTTCTGCTGTCACTTCCCTTTCTGCAGGCCCTTTCTGCTTCATGCTTGTCCCGTTGCTACCGGCACCCTCCGAAAGGGACTGCAACGTCTGCTCCTGTGGGGAGCAGTGCCTGCTGTTAGCCTTATTGTCCTCTTGATAACTAGGTTTATTGGAGCTCAGGGCAGGGGAAGGCTCCGGCTGCAAGAATGTCCTTGCTGTCATGAGATTTGATTTGTGATACAAGGCTGGGGTGGATTTATTTGGAGGACTGTTCGGTGAGTCTGGTGGTTCTCCTTGCTGCTTAGGGCAAGTGGGCTTCAGAGATGTGTCTTCCTCCCCCTTCTTATTACCAGAATCAGAGCTCGAGTCTTGCTTTTCCTGGTGTACGTTGTAGCTGGAGTTTTTCAGAAAGGGAGACATTTTTATGCTTCTGATGCTTATGTTGGAAAGGCTGCTGGAGGGGCTTGAGGTTTCAGCATCGTTGACCTGTGCAGCTTTTAAAAAGGAGTTGGCAACTTTTGAGGTATTCTGAGAAGAGGGGCAGGTTTCAGGATCTGGCACACAGAAGCTGGTCACTGCTCTGGACTCTGCATACAAGTACCGGAATTCCTTGTCAAACTCTGCAACAATTTGACCACGGAAGTGGGTCACCAGGCTGGTGTGGACTTGACTGCAAAGCCAGGTGAAACTGTGAAAAAAGAAAAAACAAACCACAAACTCACATGTACCTTTAGTTCATGGAGTGCCAAGATAGCTAGCATTGATTTTAACATTTGAGTGATGTATTGATAGCAATTTATGTCATTAAAACTTCTTCTGAAGCATGCAAGTCTGAGATTGCTTGTAGAAATTAATGTACCCATTACATAATTACAAAAGAACAACCCTAAAATGGTCATTTAATTTCAAGCTCAGTGATGTAATGAACTGTATGAAAATATACACAATGAACAAGAAATATCAGCCAGTTTTCCTTAGCCTTATGAAGGACCTAGAGCAGCAACCGGTCCCTGCCTAAAAAGTACAGCAGCATGTTTCAGGTCTTTTCCTCTCCAGCTTCCTCCTGCCAGCACTCTCTGCCCATAAGCAAGGAACCATCGTTTCCCATTCCCATCCCGTCCGTGTGTTGGCGAGTACCAGCTAACTGTTTGTGGGCAGGCTCGTCAGTCCACGCAGGGGGTATTGCAGTGTGTGTGGTTTGTATCAGGCAGGCAGCGGCAAGGAGACCTCCGACTATCTGGAGGTGGTGTGGCTATGGGACAATGAGACAGGAAGCGTGGAGCACTGAATGGCTCTTTCTGCTCAATTTACATTGCAGACTTTCTAGCTCAGCATTTGGCTAGCACGGTACACTGCGCCCATACCTTCCACAGAGACTGCTTGGGGGGATATCAAGGCATGCCTGGTCTCCTGCTCTCTTCCCTTGCCTTGGCAGGAGCTACGTTCTCACGTCCTTCACATCTGCAACATGTGATGGACTTGAAGGAGCTGCTTAGGCAGGCAGAAGAGTGAGGAATGGAGATCTTGGGCACTGCCTTGAGGAGCAGGGGTCTCCAGAGCCCCACAGGAAGGCCTCAGGACAGGATTATGATAGGGTTAGATGATGTTTTCTGTAAGTATTGCTGTGAGATCCCTAGACTCTTTCCATCTTTTCCTTGCCGTCCAGTTAAGAGATGCGTGGTGTTAGAAGTTCACTAGTCCTTTGCTCAGCAAGTCCAGTCCCTGCTCTTGCAGTACAATGTGTTGGGATCTTTTCTGGGAACTTATGTTCCACCTTAAAACAAATCAGGTTTTGCCCCAGCTGGGGAAAAACTTTCACTAATTGCCACTCTGCATATTTTATCTGTTTAGCCCTACCTGTTTGTGCCAAAACTGTAACTTAATTAGCTCTCCCCTGTATATCTACAAATAGTAACCACATTTCTCCTCCCAATCTTAATTTTCCTAGATTAAACAGGGAAGGTCTTCTTACAGAGTAGGCTCCCGGTCATCCCAGTCATCAGCTGCTGCTTTTGTTCTTGCTATAGTCAAACCAGACTAGCAGGCTAATTGTGTTAAATAAAACAGAACCTTCACAGATGAAAGTACCGGTTTAGGGCTGCGTTATCAGCTGCTAGAGCAAGATACTGACTTCGACAAGGGCAGGATAAAATCACAAAAACTACAGGAGAGCAATTGTAATGGGTGATCCCAGTTATTCTCAAGTAAACGTCATTTCAGGACAAGATACTGGCACTATGTTTTGGGACCTCGTCAATGCTTACTTCACAAGATAGCTGTTTGGGAACTTTTAGTAGGAAAACCAGCTCTTGGCTTGTTCCTGAGCAATATGCAGTTGCTGTGGTTCATAATGTTGTTTTGAAAAAAGTACTATACTTACACTCAGCATACACACCTGCTAAAGAGCAACACAAAATGAAAAGATAAATACTCTTCTGCTTAATATCAAAAGGTAGATTAAGTAAGAAAGAAGAATTAGTGAAAGAGTAAAAAACTTTTGCAGGTGGCATGAAGAGTATTCAGAAATAGCGTACTGAAGGCTCAAAGCAAATGCATACAGCTTCACAGAGACACATGGGAAAAACCCCAACAACAACAACAAAAGCACCCCAAAACAAAAAAAAAACCCACAAACCAGAAAATAGCTGGGATAGCTAAATGACAGAAGAGAAGCTATTAAGACCAGAAAGCCCATCTTTAAAAAAGATTGGGTCACACATTGCAAAAGGCATAAGAAATAATATTCAGCGCTCTGTGGGGCTAGCACATGGTCCATGTGTAATAGGAGCGCTCAGATAATTCCTCTGCATCGGTGTTTATTGTACAGGAGCTTGGGATGATCCCTGCCCTTTATACAGAACATAAGGGAGGATCAGTCTCATGTTGAAATCTCTGTAGAAGAGATAAGAAAACATATCAACAAAGCAGATAGGAACAAATTGGCAGGACCAGGTAAGATTAACCCAAAGGAATGCAAGGATGAAATAGCTCAACTACTAACCAGGATGTGTTATCTCTCACTTGAAAGCACCTTTTGTTATCAGAAGAGTGGAAGGTTGCTAATGTGATATCATTTTTTTAATGTTCGAGACCATTAAGTCTCATAACTGCACAGCACAAATTAGTAGAGACTCTTCTAAACAATACAATTAATGGCTATATAGGTAAATATGATATAATAGGAAAGGCAGCTCTTGCAAAGAAAAGTTCTCTCTCACAAAGCTGTGAGAGTTCTTTGAAGAAATCCAGGAGTCCAGACAGGAGATTTCATGTAGCCTGTATTGACATTGTCAAAGGCGTCTGTCCCAGGGGCACTGCCTGGCTCCCAGGCGTGCTGGTGTTCCCGTTCCTTACAGCTATTACCCTTCTACACAAGAGCGCTGTCTGCACCGCACAGCGCTTAGACGTATCCCAACTCAGGACCTACTCTGCTCACACGTAGACTTGTGTCCATTTGAACTCCTTAAACCACAAATGCACTCAGAGGCCTGAACACCCTCTCATCTGGTGGGGCAGGCTTGCATCCCTCACGCTGCAAGCATCATTCCATGAACTGCGAGGGGACCCTCATCACCCCGGTGGAGGATAATGCCTGCTATCCCTGTTCACCCAGCCTGGCACCGCTGTTGCCAGCAGACCTGGAAACAGCCATGCAAGTGGTTGTGATTGCCCTCCTCATTCTGGCTAGGAAGTCTCATGTCTCAGACTCAAATGGTCAAGCAGGAACATCACAGCAGTTACCCATCAAGGCTTCTGGCCTCACCTTAGCAGGAGGTAAACAACAGGTCTTGCTTAGGTTTTTTCTTCCCTCCCCTGATGAAATGACTTCTACCTTCTGTCTTCTCCCAGCACCCTCTGACACAAGTACTGCCTCCCTACAGAAATTCACGAGACAGATAAACTCATCCATGTCCTCTCATTCACATGAGCTGTCCTTTCCTCTCTAAGGGGAGCAGCTTCAGGTCCAGCTATACACTCCTCTGGCCTTACGACTGTCCTTGCCACCGACACCTCTCACAGCTCTTTCCCCAGTCCAAGCATTACTGTGTCCCAGTTTCCCATGCCGATCCAATGGGGGCCTGCTCACTCCATGTCACGACAGGACCTGTAAGGAATCATCCAAGCCCCACCAGTGGCACAGCCCTCCTCCTTGCCATACTACAGGTTTCTATGATAGGACAACGTGGCCTTGCCAGCTATGGCTCTTCCCATCTCTACAAACTGATAAAGGTCTTTTCCTCCATGAATGGCATGGAGGAAGTAGCAAGGGAATAATCATTCTTGGTCTCTTCTGGTACAAAAATGAGGCGTTGAATTAACAAGTTACAAATTCAATACAGACAACACAACACGCAGGCAAGCTGTGGAGCTCCTTGCTACAGGCCACTGTGGATGTTTTAGCATCATGTGGGTTTCTAAAAGCAGTAGGATTTTCCTGCCATTATTTTTTTCAGAACAAACTGCTCCACACAGAGATCCCGTATCCAGTTCTGAATCACCCTGGGGCACAAATTACAGGAGTCTAGGAAAGGATAGCTGTAGGATGGGATCCCTTCCCTGCCTTGCTTTCAGACCCTCCTGGAGCAGGAACCCTCCAGGAACCGGTGCAGCTCAGCCTTTGGCCAGGAGATGGAGTTGGAACATCACCTCCCAGGAGGTGGGCGACACTTGTCTGTCCTGTCACAGCATCCTCTGCCCCGGTGCTCTGGCTTGGGTCGAGCATGAGTGGCAAGAGCACTTTGCAGTATTTCAGCCGAAGTCTTAATCTCAGCAACATTTTCGACAACAGGATTAGTTTTTCCCCATGCCCCTCTGTAAAACTGTAACATGGTTGAGGGTTGCGATGACCTTTCTACAGCTGTACTGTACAGGTGATGCACAGTTCTTCACACTCAGCTTCCCTGCTTTGGCTATTTCCAACTGATGAGATACGAATTTGCAACAAGGTTTTTTGCTTCTCTCAGTAGTTTCTCTTACTCATTTTTAGTGCTTTTCTGTCACTTTGGCTGTCAAAGGCATTCTTTTCTTTTTGTATGCCAATACAAACTTCTGTGTGTCATTTTTGCTCATTGCTAAATGTAGATACTACACAACACTCATTACTAGACCTTTGATTTCAAGTGACATTTTCTTTGATAAGATGACAATAATCTGACTTTATTGTAGTAAGCTCTTTAAGTTTGCTTCCAATGCACTTGAAATCATTTCCACTCCTCATTTTTCATCTTCATTTTGATTTAAAATGGTGCAATGAATTCAGTTAATTTGGGCATTCCATCTCACCTGAGATGAGATCTCTTATTTCTTCTTCATCCCTACAGCAGCATGCCTTGTCTTTCTTCTGGATTCACTTTTTATTTACACACCTGAGGACTTCCTCCTCTTTGCTTGGTGTGCTTTGCTAGGTTTTATATATAACTTATCTTCTGGCAATGCTCACTTTATTGCTATACATATCAGCCCAGGGTTTCCTTGGTGATACACTATGCTTTCCATTCCTTATGCACTCACTTTTTGCTTAATTATGATTTCTTTCTTGAGGTGACTGTTCATCAAGTTAGATAAAAGCTCTTTCCTCTTGCTTGGGACATGGATATGAGCATCTTTCTTTTAAAGACATTCAAGACTCCTCCAGCTTCAAACCCATGTAGCTGTACCTGTTCCATTGCCAAACACTTATGTACTTAA